ATTTAAAGATTAAATGAATGACTTAACGGTTTGTTTTCTCCGCTAGTATGCTTTCACTTCATTATCGCCACCGATCTGCAGATACTTTGATGGAGATTTTTGAACTGACTAGTTTTGTTTTGTTTAGCTTCGCCATTGGTTTATCGTCGCAGGTTTTAGACGCTGGTTGCTGGGTGATCCCGTGGTAGATATTTACACTGGAATTGTTTTAACGTGGGACAACTGGTGTGTTAAGGGTGTCCACACAGAGTAATCAGCTATGATCAGAAGCCAGAAACAAAATTAAGGCATTCTAAAGTTGTTGTTTCCTTCTTCCGTCTTTGAGGTTGTTCGATTTTCTCACCTTATTCCTATGATCCTCTAGTGAAACCTTTCATGTTTGGACCATGAGTAGTCTGAAATCGCAGTTCAGAGAAATTCGCCAAGGATGACCCACTTGGCAGCGTAAGACTTCACAGCCCTGTGGATGATCAAAACATGATGTCTTCACCACGCCAACGTCACGGCACATAAACAGGTGAACAGGCCTTGTTTCATTGGTTTATTGTTAATTAACTCCAGTTAACAGCATAACACCTACATAACATTTAAACATTATTGAAATGTAGCTTAGGATCTACATTGTGGAACGGACAATTTCGTTTGAAATAACGGCTTTTATATGGATTTGGAAAAGATGAATTCTAATCTGCAGCTTCTGTTACTGCAACAACATTCAAATAAGAACGATTTATAATTTATATATTTACATCAGATGCGATTGCTAATGTCGACAGATATCATTAATCATCCGTTTTAAATACGTATGGCGCTGATTCAGCAATTTATATTTTTGGAAACGTCTATAAATCCGTTTGTCCACGAAAAAAGAAGTTTGAACATATACAGTGGCATGGTTATGAGTACCTCGACGTCAGAACAAACGGTCCATTCCTATTTTGCATAAGTTAGAGTGTTTTCACTGTCTTGTAACTACTTTTACTTTTACTTCAAAGATGAAGTAGAACTTCAACAACAGAGTTGCCTAATTGCCAACAACAGAGATGCCCAAAAAGCTGTTCAGCGTCACTTAATTTTGTGGATACGACCACGTATTTTACGGGTTTTTCGGCGCTCTCCACAGAGACTGTCTTTATGTTCGCCTAGGATGCAACGCATATACGATATTGAAATGGTGCTCGAAATTTTCACGCTGGAAGTTTTAGAAGGGGGTTACGTCTCACTTTCACGTGCTGTTGTCAATTTATTATTTAATTAATGGTTTTTATGTGCTAACCTTTCGTGTTGTTGGGTAAAGCATTCTGCTATTCAGTCTTGGCTTCGTTTTCAAAGAATTTAAGCAAAGGATTAAACTGTAATTCTCGTGCTATAACTTCTAAGGCTACTTGACCCTAACTAGAAACTTATTTTGCAGGGTTAGAGAATAGGCAGATGCAAGACAAATACTACTATGCTGCCAATATCAGGTAATGCCATTTTCTTTAATGCACTTCATTGATAAAAATAATTCCATTACATATGTATGTCTTTAAACCGTCAGAATTTGAAATTTAACCGAACCTTTGAAGAAACAGCTTCCAACTATCCACTCATTTTAAGAGCCTGGTATTACCTTTGGGTTGAAGGCAGCAGGTTCAAGAGTTTATTCCCATAGTCTCGGTCAGTCAGGATTACTGAACGAGTTTGACCCAATGCGCTACAATGCAGTATTCAATATGTTCAAGCCATTTTGCCCTGGTTTGCCCCTTGGTCGCTCTCATGCGACTTTTCGAAGAGAGTCTGTCATGTGCCTCTCTACTTAGGCATTTAGATCACACGTTCAAACCATCACGTTTGTGATCTCTCGATCATGAGAAATAGTTCCTTAAGAACGAGAGTATTCCAGTTTTTGGAGCCTCATCACGGCAGCTCCTTTGATCTTCATTTCTGCCGCTTGTAACCGCGATCGCATTCACTCCGTCATTGTACAGCATTCATTACCAAACATGAGAGTAGATGCGTAGGTAGTTTTTCAGTGAGACAACTTTGCCTAACTGTTGAGTATTTTATTCTTTACCAAGGTCCAGTTTAACTCCAGCATAATTGCACTTGCTAGACCGATTCGTGTCTTTCCACATCCTACCTACCGTCACTTGCAAATGCCACTCCGAACTGCTTAGACTTTCCCAACTATCTCAGTTTAACTCTGTACGAGAAACCTCGATTTTGTTTAGGCTGATCTTCAACCCGGCCTCATCGCATGCATCACTGAAACCGTGAAGGGAATAAAAGACAGTTAGTCACCATTGGAAAGTCGATCTTCCTTCAATTTTATGATTGGCCCATTTTGTTGCCCTTCTTTGCATAAAGTAGATGGTGCGGTGCTGATCTCTATTTCTATGCCATCAGCCAGGAGTGCCTTGATTTTAAAGACAGAGTATACAGCCATGTGGCAAGCGTAACGTGTAGACTCCGGTTTCCTTTCCACAGAATGATACTCATTTATCAACCTGAGAAGGAGGAACGGCGTGTAACCCTGACAGGGATTAAACTCCTGACTTATCAGTTCTGAGTTCGTCTCTCTACCGACTTAGCAACCCCAGTCTGAAGCCATGCGTAATAAATTTCTTGCTCAGTGCACTTTGTGAATGAGACAAAGATTGCCCTCTAGCGGAATTGCACTCGACATCTCCGAAGTTCGTATTAAACCACTTATACAACTGTGCCAACACGCCACGTTGAAGGCTGAATTACAAGGCTATCTTCAGGTAGTAAGTTGCTGAGTTGCATGTTCCAAACCGTGATATTTTCCGCACTTTAGCGACGTTGCTTGGCACAATCCATAACATGTATGAATAAGCAGCATGAAAGCCTTTCTGTAGCTGCTAACCATCGAATCAGAAGAAATAAGGGAACATTTATAATGGCTACAGCATTGGTCTTTCTTGCAATTCCATTATATATCGTCAGTAGTACCTTCTG